TAATTCAAAATATAATAGTATGATAATATGTATAGCAAATTTGCTATTTTGTACGTAAATGAGATTTGCATTGTACTTCAAAACATAATATAACCGGTCCTTGGCTTTGTATCGACGCTGTTTTACGAATTTTTAGTTTTACGGACATCCCCTATCCCATAATGGTCAGTTAAATCAAGAATTTGCTGTATAGTAGTAACGTCCTGAAATTACTGTATGACGATATCAACGAGTAGCAAAAGGTCACATTCTCAGATCCGTCGATTTCTAGAAGTTCTCTAAAAAGCCAAAATACTGATGCCTCTCCTGGTTCGATAAAGTAGCTGAAGCGTTAGAAGCTGTCAATAAAACGTTCTTCCTCTGAGAGCCGATCACGGGTCATTAAAGGATTGTTGGCCGGTTGAAATGTGGGCAGATCTTATTAGAAGCTGATTTGCTCTGAACAAAGAGTATGCCCTGTGTCGAAGCCGTTAATGCTTAGCGTAAACTGATGACTTTCTTCTTGCATGTCGAACATGATTGATCTGAGACAAACGAAATTGCTAAGTTGCCGCTTTCCAGATAAAGTTGAATAACAAGGACAACAATCCAATTATGATTGAAGCATATACGAATAACATATTTATGGGTTATTATGGGTTGCTGGCAAACTGCCAGTTTTCAGTACCGTCGGTAACAGTAACATTCTTCTGTCAGCTTCTCCTGATTTAGACGGCGGAATCTAGGCTCCACAGGCAAGGGGGGGTGGTAAACTAAGAGGTGTAAATCTGGAGAAGGGAAAGGAGAATATATATTAGTATATTGTTAGGTAAGGGGTTTTATGCACTTGTATAGCTATAATATTTCGGTCAGCTGTATACAGCTCACTCATTCTGATTTGCTGACGGCATGCTGTTGGAGACGTACGCCTTGCTATGTGAAATAGAGCTACAGAGCAGGTAAGTGGAACGTTGGATAAACAGGGCTAAGACGAAATTGCGTAGCCAGCTACAGTGATTACAATATAGAACAAGTCACCGGTTATGTCTTCTTTTGATAGCTACTCATTTCGGATCACTCGTTTAGTCCATAATTCTGTAGAAGGCATCATGTGACGTGGAGTACATACGAACCGCTGACATTCTTGAAAACAGTAAATTATATCAATTCCAGTTAGAATGATTTTGTATAAAAGTACATTATTGTCAAAAGTTGTATGTGATTGTGACATGATACCGATGTTGGGCGTTACGTAAAAGTAATGAATAACGTTTAAGAGCGTAACATCGTGCGATGAAAAGGTCGTTGCTAGGCTATTTCAATCAATTAAAATCAATGAAATGCGGAAATAAGACGACGTACACCATGTAGGACGTTGTATCAGCTTCGCAGGAAAGAAAACGATAATCGAAGAAGTCACTCGCATGATTGACAGATGACAGATTGGATTGAAGAATGACGATTTGCTATCCTAAGGGTTGGAAACACTCAACGGATCTCAGGAGATCTGGCCTCAGATTTAACTATGAGATTAAACAGATACTTGCAAGTTTGCAACGACAGATCGCACGGGACAGGCACACATGGACATAGACGTCAGGCAATAATGATCCCGTTAATTGCGAAAACAGAATAGATCATTGAAGAAAATAGATAGATAGATCAGATAAAATAGATCAGTGAAGAATTTTAAGAATTTACTGAATTTCAATAAATAATTGTTCAGGTTTCTGATTCTGCACCCATAGTTGTATACATAGTTGTTTGAATGATTCATGGTTCAGGCACTCGAGCGAACGACCTCAAAACCTCATTGGTACGTTCCCCTTCAGATTTTATTTAATTAGTCCCACAGCAGGGAGGACGTAAAATTTGCCATCCACCTGTGCTGTGGCAGTTTTTGCTTTCGTCAATCGCAGCGGCGTTGTAAAAGAAGCGCGGTCGCGAAGATTGATTTTCCTTCCTCAAGTGGCGAAAGCCGGTGAAACGTCGGAAATTCGTCCACCCGGTTAACACAGGAAACCGGTTTTTCGATGTCTTAAGTTCTTCTTGCAGAATTGTGACATTTGATTTGATGAAACGAAATAAAAAGGCGGCGGATCAGTTACGACGAACAGAAAACAAAAGGACGAGCTTGAAGAGTAGGATGTGATAAACCTGTAATTACGTGAAAATGAGGAAATTGTAGGTGAGGAACGAGTAAGCATGCCAGTGGAAAATGATAGACGAGTGTAATCAAAAGAAGCGTTTTTTGACATTTAGATATCGATAGTTTCCCAGAACATCGGAGTTAAATTTTGTCATTCTTTGACGTTTTATCTATAAAGCACATTAATAACCGCGACCCGGAAGGAGAAGCGGCGATGGAAGATGAAGATAACCCAGAAGAAGTGTTAAATGTGGCATACGAAGTTTGATACTGAGACTGCGACAAGAACCAACCAGCTAGGAACCTGCAGGCTAACAATTTTGGTATTGCCCAGCATGCGATTACTGAAGGTCATTTTTTTCAGTCAAAGCAATGTGCTGTTATAGATAAAGACCAATCTAAATTACGTTTGCTGATAAACGAGTCCTTGCA